TTTGTGTGTGTGTGTGTGTGTGTGTGTGTGTGTGTGTGTGTGTTTCTCTGTCTGTCTGTCTGTCTGTCTGTGAGTGAGTGAGTGAGTGAGTGAGGCTGCTGTGTTTGAATCACTGCAGAGAGGAAATATTTAGATGTCTGTCATTGAGTGTGTGACAGGTGTGTGTGATCAGCTTCACATCTGTGACCATGAGCCTGGGTGTGTTTCTGTGTGTGAGAGGAGAGATCTGACTGAAGGGATTCATCACAGACGCTTTATAAATAGCCTCAGACGGGGCTTTTGTTTTGTAGGAACGTGGAGGGATTCAGCTCACACTTCCTGTTTTTACAAAGAGACTCCAGCTTTTTGTTGCCTTTAAACATTTCTCTCAAATCTTCCCTGATTCATTACAATTTCAGCACATTCGTTTGCCTTTTTCAAAATAAAAGCCTATAAGTGTTGTTGTAGGCTTAAAGGAAGCTCAGTATGAAGGTTGTTTTCCAAAATAAAAGCCCCATAGAGTAACTGTATCCCTAGTGAAAGCTTAGGATGGCTATTTTTCAAAAATAAAAGCCCCATAGAGGAAACATACCCCTGCAGGAAGATAGGAGGCATGTTTTTCAGAGTAAAAGCCCCATACGATAGTAACTGTATACTAACAGAAGGATAAGAATGAGGCTTGTTTTTCAAAATAAGAGCTCCACAGTGTAAATGATTAACTATACTATAAGGAATGATCAAGATTAGGCCTATTTTTCAAAATAAAAGTCCCATAGTGAAAATGAATTCTTATAGGAATCTCACATACAGGTTTGTTTTTCAAAATAAAAGCCCAATGGACTGTTGCAGGGCAGAATTATGCTTTCATTTATACAAATGTCTTCAAAAATGTAAAATGTATGCCAAAGATTCACCCACGTTCTCGCCATATCTTGTCAATTCTGAGATGACCAGGACACACACACACACACACACACACACACACACACACACACACACACACACACACACACACACACACACACACACATACATATGTTCTGTTTCACACCTTTCCAGACTTTTGAAGGCTCTAATTTCCATTTCAGTTCCTATTCCTCACTTTGATTATTATTGATTTTAAACCCAGCTGTCAATAGTCTCATAAAATGGCTTGTTTTCCACACAGTGCCAGTAACAGGAGAGTAAGATCTCTCCCCACACGCCTCACAAATCAGGCTTCCACTCAAATGCAAAGTGTGTACATCATTTGTTTCATTTTCACTCACTTGTGGAAAGTTGTTTTTCTTAACGTTTAGGAATTCTCCTGTAGCTCCGTGAAGCTAATTGAAAGCTCTGTCTTCAAACTTGTATATTTCAATATTTGACTTGATTGAAAGCGGCATAAAGAAAGGTTATTTTATCCACAAGTAAATATAACTATTACAAATGGCCTCTCCAGAGGAACCCTCTCTTTAACCTAGTCGACTGGATCTGACTGAAGGAGAACATCAGTTGTATTAGGAAAATAGGATTGTTATAACATATAGGATCTTACCAAAGTCTTATTTTCTTTGACTTGCTTGTCTCAGTTTTTCATTTTAAATGATTGTGCTGTAATGTCCTAGACTTCACCTGTGATAAGAAAGGGTACGTACCAAAGCACCAAAGCAACTTTTCTTAAAGGCATGCACACGGTTTAGAGCAGGGGTGTCCAAACTCTTTTCACCGAGGGCCACACACAGAAAAATATACAAAGTTCTGGGCCGCTCACTAGAGGTATATCACCTCATAAGTTCTGTTTAAGTTAAGGTAAATTATTCTTGATACTTGAAAATGCTATAAGAGAAAAACAGCTCTCAGCTCTCCAGAGAGTTTCATTTATTGTGTTAGCAGCTCATTCCTTAAAACAGAAGCTTCAGATTTCAGATAATGAGAGGAAATATGAAGGGATGATTTCAAGGTTGTTATGGGAATTTGTTATTGGGCTTTTTTATCAACTAAGATTTGTTAGAACATGTTTCCAACTTGAATTGACTGAATGTATTAACACATGAACACCATTGTGTAATATATGTGAACATATGTATTTAAGAAGTACAATATAAGACAAGCAGAAGTTAATTATACTTAAGTCATTATACTTTTTTAATTTGCTGTCCGCTGGCCACATTTGGCCCCGGGCCGTAGTTTGGACCCCCCTGGTTTAAAGCACACATATGAAATGCTCCTCTCTTTGTCCCCCTGTTCCTCAGTTTGCTCGGGTGCTGAAGAACCGGGCCTGGCCCACCTTCAAACAGGCCAAAGCCAAGGTGTCTCCGCTCCACAGCAGCGACTTCTGCCCCACCAACTGCCACATCAACGTGATGGAGGTCTCGTACCCCAAGACCTCCGGCTGTCTGGGCAGTGCCTTCGGGGTGCAGCTGGACAGCAGGAAGAGCACTCTGGAGAGGGGGGGCCGCGCTGAGCAGGGTGAGAACGACTTCTGCCCGGCAACAAGTACATGCTCTTTAAAATTCTGACTTTTCCTCAAGATTCTGACTTTTTCTCAAAATCTCAAAATTCTGACTTTTTCTCAAATTCTAACTTTTTCTCAAAATCTCAACATTCTGACTTTTTCTCAAAATCTCAAAATTCTTACTTTTTCTCAAAATTCTTACTTTTTCTCAAAATTTCAAGATTCTCACTTTTCCTCAAAATCCTTTCTTTGTCACAACATTTTTACTTTTTCTCAAAATTACAAAATTTCGACTTTTTCTCAAAATTCTAACTTTTTCTCAAAATCTCAAAAATCTGACTTTTTCTGAATACTAATAATATAAAAATGTTAATAATCCCTGGTCCCCGGCTCGAGCTTGAATCTCAGGATCCATGTATTTGTGATCCTCTCCAGAATGGAAGTAGTCATCACATACAGAGCATCAGCTAGTTCCTGAACAGTGTCCTTCACATGCTGATATCCAAGAGAGGGAGTTCCACAGTCACAAGGTGGAGGAATATGCGTGGAAGTGCATGCTCTTGAATCCCTGATGCTCACAGTTGTTTCCCCCCCAGGTAAGATGACCCCCCAGGTGAAGGTGCAGCACTCCATCCTCAGCATGGCGGCTCCTTCGGGTCACAGTTTGGGACGAACGGAGGGTCACGGCCTGCGTTTCCTGCTGAGAGAAGAAGACCTGCTGACGCTGGACAACTACCAGAAGCTTCTGAACAAACTCTCTGCGGGGGTGAAGGAGATGGAGACGCACGGAGGACATATTCATGAGTGAGTGAGGATATCTGAGGCTGTGTCTCTCAGTGTCCCAAAGTTCAAGGAGAAGTCTTTAAACTCACTGTAATGTGATATTAAACAAAAATAAGCAGCATTTTCTGGCATAGAAAATGACTTGATGACGCATGGAGGACATATTCATGAGTGAGTGAAGATATCTGTAACTGAGGGTGAGAGGGGTCACAAAAACACCACCTGCTACCTACCAAAGAAACAAGAAGATATGTGCATCCCAGTGTCTCAAAGTCAAAAAGTCTTTAAATGATATTCACTGTTATGTGATATTAAACAAAAATAAGTAGCATTTCCTGACTACATTTGATACAAAAATGGCTTTCGGACACTATTTAGGAGCATATTTGTTGCAGCTCTAACTACCTGCCAATCATTCCCATGCAAGACACATTTCACGTTTTTTAAATAAATATAATGAAGAATATATTTCCAACATTTTGCACAAAAAAACAAGGAGGAATCTTCTCTGTGCTGCATCTGGTGCGAACATATGGGTCATTAGTGTGTGTGTGTGTGTGTGTGTGTGTGTGTGTGTGTGTGTGTGTGTGTGTGTGTGTGTGTGTGTGTGTGTGTGTTTCCTGGCTGCTTACACTTGTTAGAGGCGCCCAAGGTTACAGAGAGGAAATGGGAAACCCTGCACCAGTTGAACTTCTCTCGCCCCTTCTTGAAAAGGAAATACCAACACAGTGACGTACAGGTGTGAGGGTGGACAGGTGTGAGGGTGGACAGGTGTGAGGATGGACAGGTGTGAGGGTGGACAGGTGTGAGGGTGGACAGGTGTGAGGGTGGACAGGTGTGAGGATGGACAGGTGTGAGGGTGCACAGGTGCAATCTGGAAATACCATTTACTAAAAGAAGACGAACGAATGAACCAAACACAGAATTAGAAATGTTTTGGTAAAGGGAGAATACGTTATTGAGCAGAATTGCTTAGAAAAATAGATGTTTTTTAACAATTAAATATCTGTTGAAGGCCTGAGCTCTAACAGAAGTTTTTTTTTTTTTCAAATTACGACGCCCTACGTGAATACACTGCAGAACAAAACACCAAGCAAATATAAATCCTGGTTTATTTGAGAGGAATTGACTCCCTTCTTCCCTTCCTCCCTTCTTCCCTTCCTCCCTTTTTCCCTTCCTCCCTTCCTCCCTTCTTCCCTCCTTTCTTCCCTTTTTCCATTCTTCCTTTCCTCCCTTCTTCCTCCCTTCCTCGATTCCTCCCTTCCTCCCTGCTTCCCTCCTTTTTTCCCTTTTTCCCTTCTTCCTTTCCTCCCTTCCTCCCTTCTTCCCTCCCTTCCTCCCTTTTTCCCTTCGTCCCTTCTTCGTCCCTTCCTCCCTTCTTTCTTCCTTCCTCCCTTCCTCCCTCCCTTCCTCCCTTCCTCCCTTCTTCCTCCCTTCCTCCCTTCTTCCCTCCCTTCTTCCCTTTTTCCCTTCTTCCTTTCCTCCCTTCCTTGATCAAACTCTCTCCACTTTATTCATATCAACCTGACTGATCTGACTTATTTACTTCATTGTGGATAAAAGCATGCTCTCTAACCTGGACCGATGTGATGAAGATGTGAGGAAGATGTGAGGAAGATGAAGATGTGATGAAGATGTGATGAAGATGTGATGAAGATGAAGATGTGATGAAGATGTGATGAAGATGAAGATGTTGATGCTTTAATGTGTAAAGTGGGTTAAGTACAGATGAAGAGATTTCTGCTGATAAGCGTCCCCTCCTTGTTTTTCACCCCGAGGCCCCAAACTGTGCTCCTTTCCTTTGATTAAGCGTCGGCCAATCAGAGAGCCCGCACAGCTTCACCATGGCGACAGTAATGAGGGCAGCGTGTGAATGGAGAGGAACGAAGAGAGTTTAAAATCATAAAAACAATCAGACGTGAAGTTCAGAAACTCAGCGGAAAAGAGGTGTTGGTTCAACAGAGACCCCCCACTTAGAAGGGTCCTTAGAGGGGACACTGCATTCCCCTTTAAGGTGACCCCCCCCTTAGAAGGGTCCTTAAAGGGGACACTGTATTCCCCTTTCAGGTGACCCCCCCCTTAGAAGGGTCCTTAGAGGGGACACTGTATTCCCCTTTAAGGTGATACAAGCTCTAAGGCTGGGAGAACAGCTCTCACTCTGTCTACCTGTGTTCCCCCTCTGTCTGAAACATACACATTATCGCTTGTTTAGAATGAAAAACACCACATTTTTGCTCTTAAAAATGTGCAAGCGTTCCACGAAAACTGTCTATTTTTTCTATGTCTATATCTTCACACACTCACACAACTCCCCCCCTTGACTTCAAGTCTTTTTTTATTGTTTTATTTGAAGGGAATTAGAGAAAATACTAGTTTTCTTTGAAGAATTTGAGTTGAATAATTGATATACAAACAACCGTACTGCCTTTGAAGCTGGTGTTACGAAAGTGGAAAATATGAGCGGACATACTTTACAGCGAGGCAGAAATTGTGTGTGTGTGTGTGTGTGTGTGTGTGTGTGTGTGTGTGTGTGTGTGTGTGTGTGTGTGTGTGTGTGTGTGTGTTTTGGGGGGGGTTAGATAACAAAAAACTCCAACGTTTGCATTTATTGAAAATCGGC